GAGTATTTATAATAAAATCAAAGACGCGTAATGCGGAATGTTTTTGTTTACATCACTGATCTATTAATTATTGAAAGTCGCGTTATTATTTATTTTTACAACTCATCATGGTTACTGATTCTAAAAATAAATTTTTGAAACGCGTTATTTTTTATTGAGACGCGTTATTCTTTATTGATACAACTTATCATGTGATTACAGATTTCTAATTTTTACAAATCATCATGGTTACTTACTTCTAAAAATAAATTATTGAGACGCATTATTTTTTATTGATACAACTGATCATGTGATTACTGGTTTCTAAAAATAAAAATAAATTATTGACGCGTTATTATTTATTTTTACAATTCATCATGATTACACATTATCTTGGAAATGTCTTTATCTGGTATTATGCCTAAATAAAATAAATAAAAAATTAGAGGTTATTATAATATCTTTTAATGCAAGCAGTAGTTTTATTTTTAAAATATTTTATTAATTTCAACCTTAGTTAGTGGAGAAAAAAAAAGTTGTCTCGTTAAAAGGTTCTCTTTAATATTATTATTACGTATAATACTTTTATTCTTTTATTCTATTCTTCAATTTCTAATACTGCCTCTTTTATCAATATTTCATTAAATTAAAATATAGGAACGTGTACATAGCTTTCGTGACTATATACTCAGTTTTATTTAATAGAAGCGGAAAGTTTAAATTTATTGGCTAACAAGGACAGCAAGGAACCTTAAATTTGGAGACGTATATTTTTTTCTTCACTCACTAGAGAGCTACCATTTCTGAACTGTTTATTTTTATAGAAATGGAAAAAATTAGGGATGACGACGAAGAGTTTCGGTATTGCATATTTGAGATTATACGAAAATTGGAATCATAGGTCCAAGTAACGAGGCTGTGCGTTATTCATATATCGAATCAATATTCCGCTATATGTTTTGTCAGGGGAATTGTTAATAAGAGAATGTCCCTTGAGCCATAATTCGAAGTTGTTGGCCAAGAAGCAAACGACAAGTTGATGATGCAATTAAAAAAAAAATAGATTTATTAAACGAATAACTTATTTGCATTACCGAAGGAAAGCAAAACCAGGAGGTCTTGGGCATTATGCAGAATGTGATGCAACTCGATAGCTCCTACCACATGAATAGGAGAAACCGAAGCTTTTGGGGATGATTTCATTACTTCTATAGGATTGTCACGACATGTGAGATTTTTTGGCCACGGTTGCGTAATATAGATGTTACTAACTCTTGTCGCCCTTACCGAGGATATTTTGGAAAAAGATGCGAACTTTGCCGAAGTGTGAAAAAAATTATGGAAGTGATTGTGGGCTTGTGGAAGGATGGGGTAGAATTGATGACGCACCAGATCGCAAGCGAGCTAGAACAAAAAAAATTATTAAGGAATAATCGCCCGTAAGGCGCTTCGCATGTATATTAGTATAGACGTCATGTGTATACGGGCAATGTCCCGAGCTTTGTATTTATTTTTATTTCTATATTAAAAAAAAATTTTTATCTTGGCAATTTTCCGGGACGTCTCAGAAATTTCTTGGCAAAAGTGATCGGCGTGAACATTGCACACGCGCACGTGGCTTTTTATTTGGAGTGTTATCATCCGTGCTAACGAAATCTACTGTCTGAAAAAAAAGACGAAGCCTTGCACAGTTGCCGTTCAGATTGTCTTCACTATCTTATAAACGCAAAGCAAACACAAGTACGATATCGACAGATGCGGAAAAATGGTATTTTATGGAATGTATGTTAGACAGTAAAAGGAGACCACAAGCCCTTATTGGATGAAGATGTGGCTATGAAAATCATGGCAGAAAAAATCATATAATTCGGTTGTTGGAGGAGGTGCATCAACTTCGGAAGGAATCGAAGGGAATGAAAAGAGGAGCAATCTTGCGAAGTAATAGATAAGCTAGGTAACTCCATCATATATCTGTGTACCACAGGCAGTGGCCCGAACTTTTATATTTATTTTTACATTACATCAACGTTATTGATCGTGACAAAATTTCACGGTTTTTTTTATAACCTAAAAGTTATTGGTATGTTACAATCCGCAGTATATTTTTCTCGAAAGATCTGATGAAAATTTTAGCATATATAATAGACATAGGAGTGGATTATTTGTGGGATTGGATAATTTATATCATTAGGTGTAGGAGTAGCGGAAAGGAACATACATTTTATGGTAACAGTTGCTCCCATTAAATGTCCATTACTACATTATTTTTTATTATATTATTAGCTCTAAATTTATTAATAAAAAAATCATGATTAATGCAATTATACAATGTTTATACGTATACATAAACATATGTAACTATGGTATTGCTATTTAATACATCAACTAAAAGAAATCCTATCAGTCTTCAACTTATTAAATCTCTCATCATCAATTTTAAGCTATTTCTTTAAATCATCTAGATTATTGAAGATGCTTTTTTTGTGTTAATGACGTATTTTAATCCTCTCATTCTCATTGAAGCCAAGAATTACAAGTGACTCAAAAGGTGCATTATTGAAATATATTTCTTCATTTACTATGTAAATATAAAAGACATTAGCAGACATTATGATCAAAAAGGGATTCCAAATTACAAACATACCTGATGTAAATTATGTCTGACTTGTAAAAGAATATCCATAAAACTTTTGAAAATTTTCCACAAACACCAAAGTGCTATTTGGTTTAACATCTATAGACAGGCTTTCTTATCTACATTCGTTAAAAATAATAAAGCCTAATCTTTCTTCTCAACTTTCATAGCTTCGGTAACCTTATTATTATATAAGAAAGAGATTGGTTAACTACCAATTTAACAATACATGTGTACTTAATATATATAGCATTATTGTACCTTTTTATACTTATTATTGAACATGCCTTGGTTAATGACAACATTAGAAATAGTAGTTGATTTTGATTATTGAGCTACGCAAATTTTACCTGCAGACTCAGAACTTTTATTAAGAAATCCAAAGGCATCAAAGGGAGCCCCAGACATATTAAAAAAAATATAATCAATATAATTTCTGATATTAATATTCTTCAATAAATCAAGGCTGATATAACCTTTTCTTACTTCCGTTATATTTGCATATTTCACTTGATTATTCTCGTAAGATTTAGTGACTATATTATATTAAAATGGAATTTGAGTTTGATGTGATTTTTTATGTTAGAAAAAATCTGTAAAATATAATACCTAGGTATTGATGTAGTAACTTGTACAATTTGATATCTTCTTGAGATAAGTCAACTTCAACATTTAGAAAACTAAAAGAGAAATTCGCATCCTTACAAAGGATCTTTAAATTAATCTTTTCGTATTCTATTAAGCAGAAGAGATTAAGGCATAATGCTCAGAATTTGATATTAAAATCTTTGAAATTCTACCAATTCATCAACTCATCATATTTTAATATGGATTTCCAATATATCATCCCAGAGTCTTTGGAATTTTTAATGATTACACATACCCACACATAAGGTAACTGAATAAGATATTCCTTAGTTCATTCTATTGGAATCAAGTTCATAACTCTCATTAAACTAAGTTTCTGATATGTTATTAATCTTTCGTTAAGATCGACCACATCATCCTTTTGAACTAGAAAACCTAATATAGCTTTTGCGAGAGATATTGTTAACTAATATGAGTTTAGATAAAAACGATATTTCCTTACAATTTTGCATTTGATATCTTTTATGATTTTCTCAATATTCACGTTATAAATAGCTGTCTCCTTTTCTGTCATCATTTTTGATTCTAGTTTTTCTGAAAAATATGTGTAATAATATTTCAATATTTTCATATATCTACCAATATCACTAATACTTATTTGAAAATATGAATGCAGACAGACATATTCATTATCAAATAGATTCATAACTTTGCCAATATCGATTGCATCATTATCATTAAGTAAAGATAGTGTAAGAAAAAGTGGTTCGTATATAGAACTAAAAATATATTGATCTAAAAGTCCTTCAACAATTTTAGCTAGAATGAGAATATTAAAAATGTTTTTACATAATTTCTCTAATGATATTTATAAAATTCTTAAAAGTATCTCTATTAAGATTATACAATTTATTAATCTTATCAACTCCAAGAACCAGGATCAGTAGAGGATTAGAAGCTATTTCTAGATTCTTTTATTTAATAGCATCATAATAAACAACTTAGAGAGCAGTATTCAGTGTAAAGCTTGAAATATTTGAATATTCATTGCATAATGAATGAAAAAAAAAAAAATCAAATTTGCCAATAATTGGTTGTGATTAGAAGTACTCAAATAGAATTCATATTGCAAGAGATACCTGTGTGCTAATTATTTTATCTATATTATCAGTAGAGGATCCATTCTTATAGATAATATTTATAATAATCATATTGGTAAATCATTATATAATTCTCATATTTCTTTATCTTTATTTTCAATTTTAACTTTAACTTTATTCTTTAGTAATCTTCCAACTTCATTGAGAAATCTGCTCTTTCTAACTTCAGATCTGTCTGCTAAGATAGGAATTAAATGAAGGCTTTTGTCACTTTTATTATGATTTTTAAATCAGGTTGCGATTCTACCTAAAGTTGCAGTTGAGCCATTCCATAGGATGTTAATAGTATCATATCACCCATAGAACTTAAGTTTCTCACCAAAACCTCTAACAAGCTGAAATAGTCAATTTGATTTTAGTTAAAGGAGCTAAAGATATATTATTAAAAAGATGATATAGCTGGAAAACTTATTCAGATTCAATCATGGTTTAATGTGAATTGTTATATCCATTCATAGATAAAAGAAGAATCATTCCAGTTAGGTCTTAAAACAAAGATTTTTTAGAAGTTTTTTGATATTATTTTAGACTAATAGATACTCAAAGTTATTTAGATACTATACCTTTTTCAGCTTTTTGCTGAGAGGGATCTATTTTAACGTGAAAAAAAAGAGATCAAACCAAATTGATATTTTGTTACTACAAATTCTTATTTGTGAGGTAATCATTAGAAAATACTTACCAGTGATAGGGATAATAGTAATGATGGAACTTTCAGATTTATATTTATTGTCCAATTCATCTTGAAAAAATATATTAAATGATTCATCAAGTTCTATCTCTTTTCTATTAAGTTTTTATACAATTTCTTCTTTGATTGAAATATCTTATTCTTTATTATCTTTAAGTTTAAAACTTTCAAGTTTCCAAAGTTTCAATTTGTTTATGTCAGAAATATCAACTACTTTATGAATATGGTCCCTGAGATGTAAAACTTTTAGTAGATCTAAAGAGATATTTGTATTTATATTAATTTTGACGTATTTATCTTTATCCTTATTGTCTTTATAAATGTTAACTGCATGAACTTCAGGACCATTGCTTAAAAGTATGTAAAAATAGAATAACGCATTTATTCTGATAATATTTCTATAAAAATGATAAAATAAGCTCTGGTTTTTAAGAGAAAATTAGAAGAAAAACTTGAGAAAGTTTAAGAGAAGTCTAAAGTATATATATATCTTATATAACTTTCTGAATACATCATGACTGATAGACTCTTGTATAAACTTTTGGTAGCTTATTGTGACATAATACAGTAAAAATTAATAAGCATAGTAAAAGTAATTTATCATTTTAGTACATGAAAAAAATGGTTTTAACTTTACTTATTAGATTTTGATTCTCTGATGAATTCTTAGGACATTTATTAAACATAATTTTGGGTCATATGAGTAGTCATATGATTGACTAACATTTGACTATATTTGACTAATCAGTGTGGCTACAAATTAATTAAACACATTAATGCTCTTTTTCTTACTCAAGCCTTTATACTATTATTTTCTCTGAGCATAAAAGTTATAAACTCATTAAAAAGAAATTAACCTATTGCAAAACATTAATGAAAAAATTATTGAAGCTCTAGCGAGATATTATATAATCCTGGTATGAATAAAATATACTTTTTTTGGAGTATTTATAAGAAAATGATTTCGAAGCTTGCAAACTAATATTTTTTTGTACAGAATTCTGAAGGCCTTACTAGAATTACAGATTGATAAACAACATAAAATTTTAGTATAAGATTAATATTATTATCCTATTGATTTATTTTTTAACACTACATATAAGTATAACTGACAACCTTTTTGTTTTATCTAGAATATTGATGGTTGGGATAATAAAACTGGATCATAGAGTAGGATAATGTGTATTAGTAGTAGTATTATCTGTTTAAAAATGAATATTATTTGGATATCTGATATCTAAATTAAATGGATATAAATTCTTGAATTATTCAAATAGTCTGACGGATATCTTAAATTATTCTAGATATTATTTGGATATTTGTTGGATCTAATTTTTGAATTATATGTAAAAGTTCATCTTATATTTTTTATAGGTATAATATAAACTACATAATAAGCTAATGCTAACAAGTTAGTACAGACTCTAGCGAAAAGAATAGTGGAGAGTTTTTTTTTGAATAACAAAAGTTTTTAATAAATAACTTTCAAAAATTTTTTTATTCTTAAAAGCTTTTGATTAAGGAATTATATACTCAAAAAATTAAAATATAAAAAAGTATTCTCTTCTATTAATCTGAATTTAAATACAAGTTAAAATACTAAAAATTACTTACTTTTTTAGTTAAAATATATTATTTCTATTGTAAAATTTTTAGCTGAACATTTTTTTATTAGTAGGTAAAGCTTATTAATATAGTAAAATTTTTATGTAATCTTAATTTTAATGATCAAATACTCAAATTTAATCCTATTTCACAATCGCAAATATTTTATTTCATATTAAAATATCTAAATTTAAATTGATATAACTTTTTATGTAAACAATTTTTGAAAAACTATTCAGTAATTTGATAGTATTTATTATAATGAATAAAATTACTAATTTATTTTTATTTATTTAAAATTTCAAATATTATATTTTTATTTTTAAGTTAAGATTTTATAATTATAAAAAATTTTAAGTAAAAAAAAATCAATTATTATATTAATTATTTTTTTAAAAAAATAAATCCAAAATTATTTAAATCTCTTTATAATAATTTTAAAAAATATATAAAAAATCAAAACTAATTATTTATTATTTACAAAAATTATTGAAAAAAAATTTTAAAATAATGATTTATAGATAGAAAAATATAAGTTTAATATAAGTAAATTTTTATTAATTTTTTATTTAATATTTAATAAATTCATTTTTAAGATGATAAAAAATCATTTAAAATTCTTAGTTAATAGACTGCTTATAACAATAAAGAGAATGATTGTTTTACTAATTTAATAATAAATAATAATATAAATAATACTAATAATTTAAATAATATATTATGCAATATAAAAAAAATTTAATTAAATAAAATATTTTAAAAAGTCAACAAAAGTTATAATTAGATAAATATATATTATAAAATATTATTTAAAAATTTAAATTAATTTTTTTATTATAGTTTTCATTTAATTGAATATATGAAAATTATAATATTTCAGAAATACAACAAAATAAATATTTGGATTATCAAAATATATATTATTTAATTTAATTATTAATTAAATTATTTAAAATTTAATTTAAGTTATTATTATTTATATGTTTAAATTTAAGTATTTGTAAAAATTATCAAATTATTTTATTTAATACATATTCTATTAATAAGAATAATATAAATTATATTTATGTATAAATATAAAAATTAATAATAATTCAAAAATTATTAAACTAATAAATACAAATAATCAAAAATTATATATTTATTATAAAATATTAAATTTGTTTATTTAAAAAATAAAATTTATTGAAATAAGTAATTAAATTAACTTTATTTTATTATAAAAAATATATATAATTAAAATACATATTATAAAGGTACAAATGGTATTTATAAATTACATTATACTATAAATATAGTATGTAATATACTTTCTGCTATATTTGAAATTTCTGATTATACAACTTATTTGTAAATAATTTATTTTCATAATTATAATTTTTTTTTTAATATTTATTTTAATTTTAAATAATATATAATAAAGGTGATATAATTATACAATCAATTATTATTTTAATTCCAATTAATAAAATTTAGCAGATACAATAATTTGTTAATCTAAAAAAGAATGATTAATTAATGAAATTATAGAATCATCATAAAAAATTAATATTATTAAATCTGAAAAAAAAAAAATTAAAAGGTTTATAAATTATAAACAATGTTTATAAATAATATTTGTAAACTAGAAATAGAAACTATTGTTAAATCTAAAGTAATTTTCTGCTAGTATAAGAAAAATTAATAAACATATAAGTTATATATAACTATTTATAACTAACCAATCTGTATTGTCTTAATGATCAAATGAGTAGATAATAAGACATTTAGTATCTCTTTACTTAGTATTATATAATTCTTTACTTTACTTTAGACTAAAGTTGTGGGCGAAACCAAAATTTTAAAGTCGAAATGTTTCGGCTTCCAAAGACTAAAATCTGAAACTTTCCGATAAGCTGAAACTAAGACTAAATTGGCAAAACTGAATGATATTGGCAGAACTTTCCGATATTGGCGAAACCTTCCAAAACTCATCAGATCATGTGATATAAATAGTTAACCAATCAAAATAAATGCCAATTTAATTTTTTATACTGAATATTAAAGTTAC